CCAGTCTCTTCGGAGGCGTGGGTTCGAATCCACCACCGCTGCCAAGACAGCATTTTAGAAGGTACTTGTGGCTGCTATGCCAAAGCAAAAAGGCTGGAGAAGTGACACTGCTTGCTCACAGTCTCTTCCAAACCCTGCCGCTTTTGCTTTCCTTGACCAAACTCGCAGGCTTCAGAGCCTGATTATGAGCAGCGATTTTTAAAGAAGGCCAGACACCTTAAGTGTTCTTTGAAAAAAGAGACGTTTAAAAAAAAAGTTGCCGAAAATGGCCCACGGAACGCTTTCTCATAAGGTAGCGTGGCCGAGCGGTCTAAGGCGCTGGATTAAGGCTCCAGTCTCTTCGGAGGCGTGGGTTCAAATCCCACCGCTGCCAAGACAGCATTTTAGAAGGCACTTGTGGCTGCTATGCCAAAGCGAAAAGACTGGAGAAGTGACACCGGTCTCTTCCAAACCCTGCCGCTTTTGCTTTCCTTGGCCGAACACTGTTTTCATTATTTATGAATAAAAATATGGGCAAGAGACAGCTCACGAAAGGGTAGCGTGGCCGAGGGGTCTAAGGTGCTGGATTAAGGCTCCAGTCTCTTCGGAGGCGTGGGTTCGAATCCCACCGCTGCCAAGACAGCATTTTAGAAGGCACTTGTGGCTGCTATGCCAAAGCAAAAAGGCTGGAGAAGTGACACTGCTTGCTCACAGTCTCTTCCAAACCCTGCCGCTTTTGCTTTCCTTGACCAAACTCGCAGGCTTCAGAGCCTGATTATGAGCAGCGATTTTTAAAGAGGCCAGACACCTTAAGTGTTCTTTGAAAAAAGAGACGTTTAAAGAAAAAGTTGCCGAAAATGGCCCACGGAATGCTTTCTCATAAGGTAGCGTGGCCGAGCGGTCTAAGGCGCTGGATTAAGGCTCCAGTCTCTTCGGAGGCGTGGGTTCGAATCCCACCGCTGCCAAGACAGCATTTTAGAAGGCACTTGTGGCTGCTATGCCAAAGCAAAAAGGCTGGAGAAGTGACACTGCTTGCTCACAGTCTCTTCCAAACCCTGCCGCTTTTGCTTTCCTTGACCAAACTCGCAGGCTTCAGAGCCTGATTATGAGCAGCGATTTTTAAAGAGGGCCAGACACCTTAAGTGTTCTTTGAAAAAAGAGACGTTTAAAAAAAAAGTTGCCGAAAATGGCCCACGGAATGCTTTCTCATAAGGTAGCGTGGCCGAGCGGTCTAAGGCGCTGGATTAAGGCTCCAGTCTCTTCGGAGGCGTGGGTTCGAATCCCACCGCTGCCAAGACAGCATTTTAGAAGGCACTTGTGGCTGCTATGCCAAAGCGAAAAGACTGGAGAAGTGACACCGGTCTCTTCCAAACCCTGCCGCTTTTGCTTTCCTTGCTTCCCTGACACTGTTTTCATTATTTATGAATAAAAATATGGGCAAGAGACAGCTCACGAAAGGGTAGCGTGGCCGAGGGGTCTAAGGCGCTGGATTTAGGCTCCAGTCTCTTCGGAGGCGTGGGTTCGAATCCCACCGCTGCCAAGACAGCATTTTAGAAGGCACTTGTGGCTGCTATGCCAAAGCAAAAAGGCTGGAGAAGTGACACTGCTTGCTCACAGTCTCTTCCAAACCCTGCCGCTTTTGCTTTCCTTGACCAAACTCGCAGGCTTCAGAGCCTGATTATGAGCAGCGATTTTTAAAGAAGGCCAGACACCTTAAGTGTTCTTTGAAAAAGAGACGTTTAAAGAAAAAGTTGCCGAAAATGGCCCACGGAATGCTTTCTCATAAGGTAGCGTGGCCGAGCGGTCTAAGGCGCTGGATTAAGGCTCCAGTCTCTTCGGAGGCGTGGGTTCGAATCCCACCGCTGCCAAGACAGCATTTTAGAAGGCACTTGTGGCTGCTATGCCAAAGCGAAAAGACTGGAGAAGTGACACTGCTCTCACAGTCTCTTCCAAACCCTGCCGCTTTTGCTTTCCTTGGCCAAACTCGCAGGCTTCAGAGCCTGACGATGAAGCGATTTTCCAGACACCTTAAGTGTTCTTTGAAAAAAATGAATAAAGAAAAAGTTGGCGAAAATGGCCACATGCTTCTCATAAGGTAGCGTGGCCGAGCGGTCTAAGGCGCTGGATTAGGCTCCAGTCTCTTCGGAGGCGTGGGTTCGAATCCCACCGCTGCCAAGACAGCATTTTAGAAGGCACTTGTGGCTGCTATGCCAAAGCAAAAAGGCTGGAGAAGTGACACTGCTTGCTCACAGTCTCTTCCAAACCCTGCCGCTTTTGCTTTCCTTGACCAAACTCGCAGGCTTCAGAGCCTGATTATGAGCAGCGATTTTTAAAGAGGGCCAGACACCTTAAGTGTTCTTTGAAAAAAGAGACGTTTAAAGAAAAAGTTGCCGAAAATGGCCCACGGAATGCTTTCTCATAAGGTAGCGTGGCCGAGCGGTCTAAGGCGCTGGATTAAGGCTCCAGTCTCTTCGGAGGCGTGGGTTCGAATCCCACCGCTGCCAAGACAGCATTTTAGAAGGCACTTGTGGCTGCTATGCCAAAGCGAAAAGACTGGAGAAGTGACACCGGTCTCTTCCAAACCCTGCCGCTTTTGCTTTCCTTGGCCGAACTCGATGGGCTTCAGAGCCTGACGATGAAGCTCTCCACCCAAAGTTTTCTTATTTATGAATAAAAATATGGGCAAGAGACAGCTCACGAAAGGGTAGCGTGGCCGAGGGTCTAAGGCGCTGGATTTAGGCTCCAGTCTCTTCGGAGGCGTGGGTTCGAATCCCACCGCTGCCAAGACAGCATTTTAGAAGGCACTTGTGGCTGCTATGCCAAAGCAAAAAGGCTGGAGAAGTGACACTGCTTGCTCACAGTCTCTTCCAAACCCTGCCGCTTTTGCTTTCCTTGACCAAACTCGCAGGCTTCAGAGCCTGATTATGAGCAGCGATTTTTAAAGAGGGCCAGACACCTTAAGTGTTCTTTGAAAAAAGAGACGTTTAAAGAAAAAGTTGCCGAAAATGGCCCACGGAATGCTTTCTCATAAGGTAGCGTGGCCGAGCGGTCTAAGGCGCTGGATTAAGGCTCCAGTCTCTTCGGAGGCGTGGGTTCGAATCCCACCGCTGCCAAGACAGCATTTTAGAAGGCACTTGTGGCTGCTATGCCAAAGCAAAAAGGCTGGAGAAGTGACACTGCTTGCTCACAGTCTCTTCCAAACCCTGCCGCTTTTGCTTTCCTTGACCAAACTCGCAGGCTTCAGAGCCTGATTATGAGCAGCGATTTTTAAAGAGGGCCAGACACCTTAAGTGTTCTTTGAAAAAAGAGACGTTTAAAGAAAAAGTTGCCGAAAATGGCCCACGGAATGCTTTCTCATAAGGTAGCGTGGCCGAGCGGTCTAAGGCGCTGGATTAAGGCTCCAGTCTCTTCGGAGGCGTGGGTTCGAATCCCACCGCTGCCAAGACAGCATTTTAGAAGGCACTTGTGGCTGCTATGCCAAAGCGAAAAGACTGGAGAAGTGACACCGGTCTCTTCCAAACCCTGCCGCTTTTGCTTTCCTTGGCCGAACTCGATGGGCTTCAGAGCCTGACGATGAAGCTCTCCACCCAAAGTTTTCATTATTTATGAATAAAAATATGGGCAAGAGACAGCTCACGAAAGGGTAGCGTGGCCGAGGGGTCTAAGGCGCTGGATTTAGGCTCCAGTCTCTTCGGAGGCGTGGGTTCGAATCCCACCGCTGCCAAGACAGCATTTTAGAAGGCACTTGTGGCTGCTATGCCAAAGCAAAAAGGCTGGAGAAGTGACACTGCTTGCTCACAGTCTCTTCCAAACCCTGCCGCTTTTGCTTTCCTTGACCAAACTCGCAGGCTTCAGAGCCTGATTATGAGCAGCGATTTTTAAAGAAGGCCAGACACCTTAAGTGTTCTTTGAAAAAAGAGACGTTTAAAGAAAAAGTTGCCGAAAATGGCCCACGGAATGCTTTCTCATAAGGTAGCGTGGCCGAGCGGTCTAAGGCGCTGGATTAAGGCTCCAGTCTCTTCGGAGGCGTGGGTTCGAATCCCACCGCTGCCAAGACAGCATTTTAGAAGGCACTTGTGGCTGCTATGCCAAAGCGAAAAGACTGGAGAAGTGACACCGGTCTCTTCCAAACCCTGCCGCTTTTGCTTTCCTTGGCCGAACTCGATGGGCTTCAGAGCCTGACGATGAAGCTCTCCACCCAAAGTTTTCATTATTTATGAATAAAAATATGGGCAAGAGACAGCTCACGAAAGGGTAGCGTGGCCGAGGGGTCTAAGGCGCTGGATTTAGGCTCCAGTCTCTTCGGAGGCGTGGGTTCGAATCCCACCGCTGCCAAGACAGCATTTTAGAAGGCACTTGTGGCTGCTATGCCAAAGCAAAAAGGCTGGAGAAGTGACACTGCTTGCTCACAGTCTCTTCCAAACCCTGCCGCTTTTGCTTTCCTTGACCAAACTCGCAGGCTTCAGAGCCTGATTATGAGCAGCGATTTTTAAAGAAGGCCAGACACCTTAAGTGTTCTTTGAAAAAAGAGACGTTTAAAGAAAAAGTTGTCGAAAATGGCCCACGGAATGCTTTCTCATAAGGTAGCGTGGCCGAGCGGTCTAAGGCGCTGGATTAAGGCTCCAGTCTCTTCGGAGGCGTGGGTTCGAATCCCACCGCTGCCAAGACAGCATTTTAGAAGGCACTTGTGGCTGCTATGCCAAAGCGAAAAGACTGGAGAAGTGACACTGCTTGCTCACAGTCTCTTCCAAACCCTGCCGCTTTTGCTTTCCTTGACCAAACTCGCAGGCTTCAGAGCCTGATTATGAGCAGCGATTTTTAAAGAGGGCCAGACACCTTAAGTGTTCTTTGAAAAAAGAGACGTTTAAAGAAAAAGTTGCCGAAAATGGCCCACGGAATGCTTTCTCATAAGGTAGCGTGGCCGAGCGGTCTAAGGCGCTGGATTAAGGCTCCAGTCTCTTCGGAGGCGTGGGTTCGAATCCCACCGCTGCCAAGACAGCATTTTAGAAGGCACTTGTGGCTGCTATGCCAAAGCGAAAAGACTGGAGAAGTGACACCGGTCTCTTCCAAACCCTGCCGCTTTTGCTTTCCTTGGCCGAACTCGATGGGCTTCAGAGCCTGACGATGAAGCTCTCCACCCAAAGTTTTCTTTATTTATGAATAAAAATATGGGCAAGAGACAGCTCACGAAAGGGTAGCGTGGCCGAGGGGTCTAAGGCGCTGGATTTAGGCTCCAGTCTCTTCGGAGGCGTGGGTTCGAATCCCACCGCTGCCAAGACAGCATTTTAGAAGGCACTTGTGGCTGCTATGCCAAAGCAAAAAGGCTGGAGAAGTGACACTGCTTGCTCACAGTCTCTTCCAAACCCTGCCGCTTTTGCTTTCCTTGACCAAACTCGCAGGCTTCAGAGCCTGATTATGAGCAGCGATTTTTAAAGAAGGCCAGACACCTTAAGTGTTCTTTGAAAAAAGAGACGTTTAAAGAAAAAGTTGCCGAAAATGGCCCACGGAATGCTTTCTCATAAGGTAGCGTGGCCGAGCGGTCTAAGGCGCTGGATTAAGGCTCCAGTCTCTTCGGAGGCGTGGGTTCGAATCCCACCGCTGCCAAGACAGCATTTTAGAAGGCACTTGTGGCTGCTATGCCAAAGCGAAAAGACTGGAGAAGTGACACCGGTCTCTTCCAAACCCTGCCGCTTTTGCTTTCCTTGGCCGAACTCGATGGGCTTCAGAGCCTGACGATGAAGCTCTCCACCCAAAGTTTTCATTATTTATGAATAAAAATATGGGCAAGAGACAGCTCACGAAAGGGTAGCGTGGCCGAGGGGTCTAAGGCGCTGGATTTAGGCTCCAGTCTCTTCGGAGGCGTGGGTTCGAATCCCACCGCTGCCAAGACAGCATTTTAGAAGGCACTTGTGGCTGCTATGCCAAAGCGAAAAGACTGGAGAAGTGACACCAGTCTCTTCCAAACCTTGCCGCTTTTGCTTTCCTTGGCCGAACTCGATGGGCTTCAGAGCCTGACGATGAAGCTCTCCACCCAAAGTTTTCATTATTTATGAATAAAAATATGGGCAAGAGACAGCTCACGAAAGGGTAGCGTGGCCGAGGGGTCTAAGGCGCTGGATTTAGGCTCCAGTCTCTTCGGAGGCGTGGGTTCGAATCCCACCGCTGCCAAGACAGCATTTTAGAAGGCACTTGTGGCTGCTATGCCAAAGCAAAAAGGCTGGAGAAGTGACACTGCTTGCTCACAGTCTCTTCCAAACCCTGCCGCTTTTGCTTTCCTTGACCAAACTCGCAGGCTTCAGAGCCTGATTATGAGCAGCGATTTTTAAAGAAGGCCAGACACCTTAAGTGTTCTTTGAAAAAAGAGACGTTTAAAGAAAAAGTTGCCGAAAATGGCCCACGGAATGCTTTCTCATAAGGTAGCGTGGCCGAGCGGTCTAAGGCGCTGGATTAAGGCTCCAGTCTCTTCGGAGGCGTGGGTTCGAATCCCACCGCTGCCAAGACAGCATTTTAGAAGGCACTTGTGGCTGCTATGCCAAAGCGAAAAGACTGGAGAAGTGACACCGGTCTCTTCCAAACCCTGCCGCTTTTGCTTTCCTTGGCCGAACTCGATGGGCTTCAGAGCCTGACGATGAAGCTCTCCACCCAAAGTTTTCATTATTTATGAATAAAAATATGGGCAAGAGACAGCTCACGAAAGGGTAGCGTGGCCGAGGGGTCTAAGGCGCTGGATTTAGGCTCCAGTCTCTTCGGAGGCGTGGGTTCGAATCCCACCGCTGCCAAGACAGCATTTTAGAAGGCACTTGTGGCTGCTATGCCAAAGCAAAAAGGCTGGAGAAGTGACACTGCTTGCTCACAGTCTCTTCCAAACCCTGCCGCTTTTGCTTTCCTTGACCAAACTCGCAGGCTTCAGAGCCTGATTATGAGCAGCGATTTTTAAAGAAGGCCAGACACCTTAAGTGTTCTTTGAAAAAAGAGACGTTTAAAGAAAAAGTTGCCGAAAATGGCCCACGGAATGCTTTCTCATAAGGTAGCGTGGCCGAGCGGTCTAAGGCGCTGGATTAAGGCTCCAGTCTCTTCGGAGGCGTGGGTTCGAATCCCACCGCTGCCAAGACAGCATTTTAGAAGGCACTTGTGGCTGCTATGCCAAAGCGAAAAGACTGGAGAAGTGACACCGG